TGGATTTGGCGTGTACTGGTTTGTACATGTTTATGTGCTTCATTTCGCATGACGGGTACCGTTATGGCAGGTGGAGTGGGGATGGAGTTTGAGCACGTATGTTACTTGTGTACAGGTGAGGTTGGTTTCTCATTTAGATGTGCGGGGCCCGTGGCTGGGGTTGGTAGCTATGCTTTACTGTCGGGGGCACGAAATAGTTGCGGTGGTGACTCACGGAGGGGTGCGGAGCTCGGGGGGCGGAAGGTGTGGTGGGGTACTGGTTGTTCGAGGTAGGGGTTAAGTATCTGATGAGTGCGGTGGTGGTGGTGGATGCATGCATATTGAATGTACCTCTCCAGATGAAGGGTGCTCGTGTGTGTCGCAGGGGCGCGGGGAGTGGGAGTGTGGGAGGTGGCGGGGGGCTCACTGGGGTGGGGGGTGACCGCTGTGCGGGGGAGGTAAGTCGAGCACAGGCAGCGTAACCAGTTGACGCGAGGACGAGAGAAGCAGCGACTTCCCGGCTCGCTTCGATGCGCAGGTGTTGAAGTCGGTAAATCCTTGACTCGGCGGGAATCGGATGTGGTCGGCTTTGGGACTGGAATCATTGGGCTCGCCAGGGATCCCGAGCCGCGGACACGGAATCGCGAGCAGTGTAGGATAATCCGACGCGTTGTGAGTGCGGCTTGAGAACTAACGCCCGTCAGCCGTCCCGCTGATAGGGATGTTTGCTCTCCTAGTTTCACTCGCGGACGTGCCGCGCAACGCTACAGGAATCTCTGCCGACAACGCTTGACGGTTTGTGCGTACGAGTGGGCGGTGAACGGTGCTGGGAAGATAGTGAGCGTTTGCCGCCGCATACTCTGCAGGAGATGGATGCTACTGACCGCGAACACCGCAGGGCGGACTGGCGGGCTATGCGTGTGAGTGGCTCCGCAATAGACTCCAGGCACGCCCCGTATTCGTATCGGGTGCCTCGCTTTACCCGAGGCCCCGGCACGGGCAAAACACCACCCGTGAGTATTGGAATGGTGCTTGACTATGTGGCTCGACGAATGTGTCGTTAGCGCCCGTTTGGTCGATCTCGCGGGCGAGACTGAAATGGCGGAGGGGTTGTTGTAACGAATTTTACGCAGCGTCTGCCGCCAGCGCTCACATTCCCGGTTTTACTCCCGGCGGGTACGCTCCCGAGCGTCTTGGTGATGTGCGGCTTCGATGGTAGGCGAATCCCGCATGCTGGCAGGCAATGGTACACGTGGCTTGACACGAGCTAGTTACTGTGCCCGTACTCCTGACGCTTGAAGCTGCGCGTCGCTTGCCGACGTCTGAAGCTTGGCATGCGTGCACGTTCTGAAGCTGGCTGGTCGCGCGTGTCACGTCCGGAAGCCAACGTGCATGTCACGTGTGTGAAAGCTGCTCGCGCGTCAGTATGAAGCTGTCGGGCGCTGGCTAAACCTGTTCTGACGCAATGATTGGCGTGTGTTGAAGCCGTGCCACGTCCGAGAGCGCATGGTTATTTACTGCGATCGTGTTGGCGCTCGGCCAGTTAGCCTTCGTTGAGCTCTAGTTCCAGTTCATCCAAGCGCATGTCGGTCAGTTCAGCGTCACCGGCAGGCTAGCTAGTGAACCCCGGCTAGGCAAATCTTTCAGTGGCGAATCCGTCGTGGAGGAAGACGAACAGCGTACTAGCACTGAGTGTATGTGTGTGTGTGTATGTGTGTGTGCGTGCGCGTGTGTCTGTGTGTTTGCAGCTGTTTAGGTGCTCGGAAAACCACCTTCCCCACAAATGTCAGAGCAGATACGCATATGAACAGGAAACATGCGATATTGTATTTGCTTTTACTATAATTATTCCTGTGTACGATACGAATAATGGGGTCTGTTTGTAGAATCTGTCAGAATTCGTCATGCAAATGGTTTTGAAAGACACGACCTCTGTTCATCCTTCATTTTAAACGCGTCCGTCCGCAATCTAGTCTGCCGCGGAGTGACTATCGTTGAATGCCATACCGTTAGATTGAATGGCGTTCGTGCGATAAAACCCGCCACACGGACACAGTCTTGCTTGCTTTAATGCACACGTTCCTTACATAAATACATGACGTCGCGTTAAGTCAATGTATTGGCAGTGTCCGTTGATAATGGTACTGATATATATATATATATAATATACGTGAGAATGCGCGAGATCAAGTGCATCACGCGCTGGCGTCGCATTGTCACCTCCGGCCGTGCTACGTCGCAGTCGGCAGTCGGCAGCGCGATGGCTTCATTGTACAACCTTCCTCTGAGTAACCTCTCGCTGTCGGCGCTCGAAAACTTCAGCGCCGTTGTCGGAAGCAGCAGCACCGGTACGGCGGACGTCGGCGCCGTGCCCGAGGGCATTCCCAAGTGGTTCGCCTACCCGCTGATCATCGTCAGCGTCGTCAACATCGTCGTCAACGCCGTCGTCGTGCTGGCGGTGACGCGCACGCCGTACCTGCGGGAGCCGGCGCACACGCTCATCGCCAACCTCGCCGTCGCCGACGTCGGCTTCGGCGTGGTCGGCCTGCTGTTGCCGACGACATTCGTCGTCAATCGGGTGCCGATGATCGTCTGCGTCGGTTTCTTCGCCGTCGTCACCTGCTTCGCGTCCGGCTCCGTGACGACGCTCATCGCTATCAACGTCGACCGCTACGTGTCCGTGTCGCGTCCGCTGCGTTACCATCAGATCATGACTTCGCGCGTTGTCTCCGCCATGATCGCGCTTAGCTGGAGCGTCGCCATCGTCGTCGGCGTCGCCAGCTTCTTTGAGAACAGCTGGTCGTCCGACGAGCCGTGTCTGTATGACGTCAGCAGCGGCAAGGTGACGCTCCTTCTCGACGTCGTCTTCGTCGCCATCTGCGGCGTCGCTATCGTCGTTATCTACGCGTACATGATGCTTGTCGCTAGGCGACACCGTCGGCGCATCCAACCGCTGCCGCCGCCGACAACCGGCAACGGCTCCTCGCAGCCGACGGAGCTCCAAGAGGAGCTTCGCTCCTTCTCCGAGGCGTTGGTTAGGAATCTGAAGCTGGCGAAGACGTTCAGCATCGTCGTCGGCGCCTTCTTCGTCTGCTGGGCTCCGCACTTCGCCGTGATGCTGCTGAGCGTGTTCGAGGTGCGATGGGAGCCGCTGGGGATGCTGCGCGGAGTGGGATACTTTATGGCCTGCTGCAACTCGAGCGTTAACTTCTTCGTCTACGCCGGACAGAGCAAGGCATTCCGCAGGGCGTTCAGGGCGGTGCTGCCTTCGCGCGGCGGAAATTAGAAGAGTCGACGTCCCCATGCAGGCTCACCCTGTTCGTCCACCGTGATTGTTAGGCGGAAACTAGAAGCGTCGATGGACTGACTACCGACGTACCTGCTCGTCCCCTGACTCGTACACCGTATTACAATGTCGGGGCAGGGTCCGTGTTGATGTTTGGATGAAGTAATTCTGACTGCATGCTAATTTTGAGTATATTGCGCATTTATACGTTCGACGAGGTCTCGTGTAATTCGTTGGCATGACATGCCCGCCACGTGGATTTTTAAAATACTACTCTTACAAGGAATTGTTAGATGGGATTAGTGAAAGCTGTATTGTCAGGTCATTGAAAACGACCTGAATGTCATTGAAAAATGAAATGAAAATGAAATGTGTCATCGCACATGGCGACGCACTTGGGACTTATTATTTATGCACTTGGGACGATTGCAAGCAAGCAGGCACTATGTAGTTCAAGGTTTCGTTTAGTTTAATATTAGTTATTTTTCACAAGCCAGTTATTCAAGATAGTGGCATTCATTCTAGCCACGTGCTGTTGGCGCGCACTCTGACATGACATCACCACGCAAAGAAGCAACGCACAAGGTAAACTTAATTAAGCGTGTGAAAGCTTCAATTATATACGGCATGTGTGTGTGTGTGTGTGTGTGTGTGTGTGTGTGTGTGTGTTTTCGTGTGTGTGTATATATATGTGCGTGTTCTTTTGTCGTCCGTATTTATGGCAACGCGCGAATTGTGTGACTCATTCATTTTTGATTATCTATAACGCATTGTATTTGTTTTTGATTATTTGATGTGCTGTCATCTCTAGGAACAATTATTAACTAGAAAAAGAATATGCGACTATGCGTGGCGCCATTTTTGTGCACATCTAAGCAGACAACACAGTCGAATCGGCACACAGGCAAGATCAATCTTAAATAACTACTCATAATATCGTTATTAGTGTAATTAATAGCGATAACAGTATTAGTATAGCATTCAAAAAGCCATTCAATGTGATCATGTGAGCTTTTCATTGCGTGGAGTGAGTAGATACGGGGTTTCATGTTCAAGTGCGTGAATGGGTTTGTACGCCGTATCATAACCATGTGTATGCATGTACCGTTGTACGTGTTAACTGTATGTAGATGTAGGCGCCTACGAGCTAGGCTACGTATGTGACAGTAGATTGAGATGTGTGACTGTAAACTTAGTGTTACGTATGTGACTGTAGACTGAGTTGTAAACACGCACATAGGGCCTGCATACCTCCTAGACCGAATAATTCTGTCCCAGATAACGTTTTAGATTTTGGATGCGTTATACGTGCCAATAACCCTCACCAAAATATAAAAAAGGTTATCTGGGACAGAATTATTCTGTCTAGCATACATCCCGAAGTGACGCGTCGTCGACCGACCAATCGGAGCGCTCGCAGCTCAGGCACTAATGCTGATAAATATAAAGCAAACCCCTAACCCTAACCCTAACCCTCACCCTTACCAGTAACCATCCACTCACAATAGCCAGCTTAAATAATGCAACCACAAAACATTGCATCAGCTTTAGTGCCTGAGCTGCGAGCGCTCCGATTGGTCGGTCGACGACGCGTCACTTTGGGAGGAGCTGCGAGCGCTCCGATTGGTCGGTCACTTTGGGAGGTATGCAGGCCCTAGCTGCGAGTGAGATGTAACAGTAGACTTGGATGCACGTATGTGACAGTAGATTGACATGTATGACTCTAAACTGTGATATACGTACGTGACTGTAGCCTGAGATGCACGTACTTGACTATAGACTGATATGCACGTATCATGTGACTGTAGATTGAGATGTGCGCATGTGACTGTAGATTGAGATGTGCGTATGTGACTGTAGGTTGAGATATGCGTATGTGACTGTAGATTGAGATGTGCGTATGACAGTATGTGACTGTAGATTGAGATGTGCGTATGTGACTGTAGGTTGAGATGTGCGTATGTGACTGTAGATTGAGATGTGCGTATGTGACTGTAGATTGAGATGTGCGTATGTGACTGTAGGTTGAGATGTGCGTATGTGATTGTAGATTGAGATGTGCGTATGTGACTGTAGATTGAGATGTGCGTATGTGACTGTAGATTGAGATGTGCGTATGTGACTGTAGGTTGAGATGTGCGTATGTGAGACCGTAGATTGCGAGTGCGTAATGTGACTGTAGATTGAAGATGTGCGCATGTGGACGTAGATGAGATGTGGCGTAGTGCACTGCAGGTTGAGATATGCGTATGTACTGTTAGATTGGAGATGTGCGTATGACACGATGTGACGTAGATGAGATGTGCGTAGGTGACTGTAGTTGCGATGTGTGTCATGTGCCTGTAGGTGTGCAGATGTGCTATTTGACTGTAGATTGAGATGTGGCGTTAGGTGACTGCTAGGTTGCGCATGTGTGTATGTGCACTGTAGGTTGAGAGGTGCGTATGGACTGTCACAGGTGAGAATGTGCGTATGTGACTGTAGGTTGAGGATGTGCGTATTAACTGTCGCTTTAGAGTGTGCGATATGTGACTGTAGATTGGATGTGCTGTATGTGACGTAGTTGAGATGTGGGCGTCATGTGCTGTAGATTGAATGTGCGTATGTGACGATGTTAGATGAGATGTGCGTATGACAGTAGTGACTGTCGATTGCACATGTGCGATCATGACTGTAGTTGAGATGTGCGTATGTGACTGGTAGAGTGAGATGTGCGTATGAGACAGTCGTTGAGATGTGTCGTATGTGACTGTAGATTGAGAGGTGCGTATGTGCCTGTAGACTGAGATTGTGCGTCATGTGACTGTCAATGAGATGTGCGTATGGTGACTGTAGATTGAGCATGGTGCGTATGTGACTGCTAATTGCGATGTGCGTTATGTGACTTCAGACTGTGAGACCGCGAGATGTACGTACGTGACTTCCAACTGAGATGTAGCATGTCGCGTGTGAGCTGTAGACTGATAATCCTATGTGGAAGTGGATACACAAGTGCAAGGGCAGGTTGTTAATTGTTTTATTATAATTAATACTTAGCTCGCTGACTCTTATTGGTTCGTATAATTAGCTCCTGATTAGGCACTGAGCCTAAGTTTCTTAGGTCTTCGGTGTGCGCCTTAGGTTAGTGCGATGCGCACCACAAGCTGTGTAGGCGCCTACGGTTCCGGTTGTTCGCATGCCTCAAAACGCACTCTTTAGCTTTGACTTTGCATTGAAGAAATAGTGTGTCCTCGTCATCTATATATATCGATGCCTTCTTTCTTCTGTGTCCAGGACATTAGGTTTTGCCCGCGCCCCAACACTGTTTCGGCCCTACGTACGGTAGCATAAGTATTTTACCATACTTATAATCTAAAGTGCATAAAGAACCTACCAGGTTGTCCAAAACCTACACGCCAAGTGCAGACAAAGCCCTCTCGCATTGATGAAACGAGTGCCAACAACTACCCCATGGACTTTCCTTCACTCCTATCACGCCTACTGGCATGCCTCCCACAGCGCGCCTCCTTTCCAAACCCAGGTGCGCAATAATCATGCTATTACGGGCAACCTTATAGACTAAAGGCCTCTGCAACGGCACCCCAGACTAGATTAGGAACCCCACGACCCCTATAATCTCTAGATGCCATAATCCTCACTGGAGCCATGTCTCACCAAGCGTCTTCATCCGCGCTGCTTAAACTTGACCCATCGCGCCCAAACCCTTCCTTCACCGCTACCAGCGGACTTCATTTCCAAACATAACTTGCCTACTCTATAACTAATAAACACTCCCAGGGCCAACTTTCGACCAACTCGACCGTCTATCTCCAGCGCCCCTGTGTTCTCCCGCGCCACGGTCCAGCTATAGGTTGGCCTCTTTCACGTGCCAGCAGGCTACTCCAACCTCCTACATCAAAGTAGACACACATTCATCACCAACAGTTCATCCAAAGGCCCAAGACTCTTTTCAACAACAGGACCCTCACGCAAAATGTCATCTACAAGGAAATCTTTTAAACGACTAAGGTACGCACCACCCGCATACCGACCCACTTCTAATATCATCTACACTCCTGTCACCCTGTTTGAAATTTTGCTGTTTTCATTCGAGTACACTGACAGGGATGTTTCATTTTAGCGCTGGTGTTTAAATTTTGCTGCGTTTTTATGGAGTAAACTGAAGGATGTCTTCATGTTCCGCAAAATTTAAAACAGGGTCAAATTAGAAATCTTTAGGAAATTTTACCAGAAGCCCGCAAAAAAACAGCCCCAAATATTTTACCTTGTTTACAATATCAATATTATGGCCACAGTCGACCTTTGGCCAAACCATTCACATCCGTGCAGAGCACGGGTATTTGCCTAGGTACTATATATCTATAATATATTGTGTTTGTTTCTTCTCGTGCCTCGTTAACGGCCTAGGTACTAACCGCTTTTGCGTTTAATATATTCGTGTGTCGCTAGCGAATACTTAGTCTGTTGTAGAACTCTGTCAGAATTGCCGCTTACACAAGTGCCTTTTGAAAGACACGATGCTCTGTTTATGTTTCACGTCAACGCGTCCCGGTCGCCGACTCTAGTCCTAACCCGGTGCGGCCGGAGATGTAGTGTGCAGACTTACCGTTAGCATTACACGGCGTTTCGCTCGGCGCCCAACCTCCGCGACACGGCGACAGTCTTGCTTGGCGCTAATGGGGCACGACGTTCCTGTAGCCTTATACATGAACGTTCGCCGTTAAGCCATTTATTGCCCGTGTCGACGATGATTTTTCGCGTATCAATACATAAATAAATGGAAATCTATATATAGTATATATAAATACTAGCATACGCATATATGTATCCAGATAGATAATCGACATTTATTGAGCTCCCGTACTATCGTAACTCCTCGAGTATACTATATATCTATATATAATATAGTATCTATGTCTTATAAGTGTTCCCTCCTACGCTTAATGACATAATGTGCCATCGCCGTCCACGCCTGAATAATACCTTCGCACGGCAAAGTTGCAGGGAGAGTAATGACCCTCTCGTGTGAGTTTTCGTGTGTGTGTTCGTGTGTGTGTAGCCCCAAGCAGCGAGGCAGCTGTTATACGCTGTAGCGTTGCGCGATCGCATTCAGTCAGCGCAGCTGCGCTAGCAACGTCCAAGGCAGGCAGCAGCTCGCCCGTAGAACGTCCAGGCAGCAGCAGCTCGCCTTAAGAACGTCCAGGCAGCCAGCCGCTCGCTTAGAAGTCCAGGCCAGCAGCAGCCCAGCATCGAGCCAGCTGTTATCGCCCCATGTATACCTGTTCCCGCTCGCGAGGTCTGCCCATCTTCTTGAGTGGCCCTCTGTCTTTACTTAAGTTGGCTTTAATTACAACCTCATTCAGCACGTTTACCATGTCGACGGGCAGCGTGTGGACGCTAGAGAGAGGAGAGAGGGCGGGGATATATGTGTCTAAAGAAAAGGAGAAGGGGAAGAGCGGAGGGGCGAGGGAGGAAGGGAGTCTGTAGTATGCGTGACCTGCGTGTTTGTGTCTGCGCGCTCATTGTGTGTGTGTGTGTGGGTGTGTGTGTGTGTGTGTGTGTGTGTGTGTGTGTGCTGTGTGGTGTGTGTGGGTT